GAGAGAGAGAGAGAGGAGAGAGAGAGAGAGAGAGAGGAGGAGAGAGAGAGAGAGAGAGAGCGAGAAAGAGAGAGAGAGAGAGAGAGAGAGAGAGAAGAGAGAGAGAGAGAGAGAGAGAGAGAGAGAGAGAGAGAGAGAGAGAGAGAGAGAGAGAGAGAGAGAGAGAGAGAGAGAGAGAGAGAAAGAGAAAGAGAGACTACGAAGACGATACCGTAAAGGACTGACCCCTTATTTTCCGCTAACTCTCCTCGCGCATCCAGTGGTGGTGGTTCTGACGTCCGTGGTGTCAGCGGTGGGGATCTGCGAGCGGACGCGGGTGGAGAGCGGGGGCGTGTACTTCCTCATCTCGCACGTCCTCGGGTCGCAAGTCGGCGGCGCCGTCGGCCTCGTCTATTGCTTCGGGCAGGTGAGTCCTCGTGATTTGGGTCGTTATTTGGAGTTGTCATTATTGTCATGCCTTATTAAAATCTGTCAGGGCACTTCAAAGTAAGAACTTTCCTTTACTCTGTCATTATTTAAGAAGGTCCTTCCCTGTGGAGAAATGTTAGTTTGTCCTTTCAGTGCCTTTGGTATACGGTATGCTCTTATGGATATTCTTATCAGGAAAATTTAACTTCCAAACGCAATTTTACCCGTTGCTTTTACACTGATTCCCGTAAATAGGTAAAACCCCTTTTCCCTTTGATCCCGAAAACATGGAAAGGATTGGAAGATCTGCTTCGACGTATTGACCTTCACAAGCCTTTGAGTCCCAATTCTCGGCCTGAATAGGTAAAAGGGAGAAGAGTTTTCCTTTTTCTTTTTATCAGTCTTTGTTGCTTCTTGGACTTGGCAGGATACGACCGAGTGAAAAGTCCACGGTCACAGGGAAAAAAAAACTTTAAGCTATGGAATTATTTCTATTTTTCTTTTCGAACATCAAATTGCTCTCACTTCAAAGGAGTCCTGCGTCGCATATTTATAAACGCACGCATAAATATTCTCTACCATATAAAAGAAGCATCAAACAAAGCTTCAACATTTTATCAACTTCATCCTTTGAATTTCAAAATACTAATCTAACATATGGCGATTCCAACCAGGCATGATTAATTGCTAATTAAAGCCATGGCGCTGTGAGCTGATACGCTCTGACTTCCAATACACCGGCTGGTCGGAGGTCTTGCCTTGCACGTTTCATTATCTCAGATCCCTTCCTATCGGGCGAGTAATCTCTTAATTTTCTTTTATACAAGTTACATTGCTATCCTTAATTTGGATCATAAAGTGGCTGGGGGAGATGGCACTCCTCTAGATTGCCTCCATATTCTTAAAGGGACCTTCTCTTTGAACAGAAGATTAAGGATGGGTGAGAGGCGAATTTTCCTTATAGGATGGGAAGACGTCTTTCGTTTCTTTTTTTTCTTTTTTTTTGTTAGAGTAACTATGAAGGGAATCAGGACTGCTACTGTTAGGGTCGACACGAGATATCAGTGTATGGTTCTACACCGAGTACAGTGATGAACAAATACTAAAAAAAGGAACATGAACGTTACACACTGGTGGATTTCTTTAAGATCAATAGAGCATCACACCCATTAAGCTGCCTTTGCACCTAATCTACATCAACCTATTCCGCCCATATGTTATAATCCCCGCCTCTGCAGGCCGTGGGCATCTCGCTGTGCGTGGCCGGCTTCGGCGAGTCCATGGTGGAGCTGCTGGATCTGTCGTGGTCGTGGTCGGAGAAGGCCTTCGCTGCGGGCGCCCTGCTCCTGCTGGCGCTCATCAACGTCGCGGGCGTCAAGTGGGTCATTAAGGTGCAGTTCCTCCTGCTGCTGCTCGTCCTCCTCGCCGCCATGGACTTCATCTTCGGTAGCTTCCTGGACCACTCCGATGGTGAGTCAGACGGAAATAGGTTTTGTTACGAGTTGTGCTGGATTTTCTTATAATTCCTAGTGTGAGCTTTTGGCATCTGAAGGACTGTAGAATGAAGCTGAGGCTTCAACAGCCGACTACAGAAGTTTCCGAATGTTCTAATAAAGTTTATAAAACACTTGGAGGTTTTTTGCAAATTGTACAGAGCTTCAACCGATGTTTTGAAAAAGTTAGGAGTACTTTTGAAATTTGAGTTTTTCAATTTCATATCTTGTTATTCATTTATGTATTTCTATGCATTAAAAATATGGAGAACATTCGCGCTTTGGGATAAAAAAAAAAAAAATTAAAGAGCTTTTGACAAACATCTAAATTTGTGTCGTTTTTTAAGATACAAAGCCACAAGAAAGAAATTGGTAATGCGATTCATTGATCAATGTTTATGCATTTCGGGTGGAAGAAATCAGTGCAGATATCATATATAAATTGTTTTCTTGAAAGAGAAACACTATTGTGAGCAAATAATTTAATAGCTGTTGAATATATACACACATGATATATAAAAACGTATATATACATATATGTATTTATATATATGTTTATGACTGTCGCGATGGTCCTGCAGCTAGAGCACTGGACTCCG